GTACCACAGGAAAAAAGAAAGTTGTCTTAGTCTAAGGGCACTTTGTATCAAAAAAAATTGCAATGGTACGGAAGATCAGCTGTGAATAAATGAGTGTTAGCATCTTGTCTTTGCTGTATCTGTAAGTGAAAATGTGTATTAATTAGAAGCTAAACAGCTGAAAGACGTTTCACCATCTGAAAAAGAAATCCTGCAAAAAAAAAAAATTGTTTTGTTATTATATAAATAGAAATAAAACTGTAAGGTTCCAAAGTCAGCCTGACAGACACTAGGAAAAAATACAATGCATATTAAAAACCATTAGATGCACACAAAGAAAATCCTGAACCTCTGAACGAACATAATATTAATATAGCAGTGTTTTAAATTGTGATCTTCCAAGTGACTACACACGACATTGCAGTACACTACATTTAACTCTATACAGGTTCTTTTACAAAAATATTCTTAATCTGTAATACTGTTTAAAATTATTTAGATGGTAAAAATCACTTAACCCAAGTGTTGTTACATTAAACAAAAGCAGTGTAACCTGTTGAAAAACAGTGTATACATAAAGCCCATTTCCAGTTAGTGAGAATAATCAGTGCATCCAACCAAGAAATGCGAAAGCAACACAGGCACCTAAAAGACCCAGTGAGATTTAACCTTCCCCTTGAGGTTTTCTTTAGTGCAGTAAGGACCATACTTCCACCAAAATAAGCACAGAAGTAGAAAATGGAGGTGTCTTTTTTAAATAAAAAACCCCCAACCCTGCAAAAAGCAGTGTTATAAAGAACAAAATGATCCTTCCCAACCATATTATACCAGAAGATGGTATACGTAAGGATCCAATATGAATCAGTGTTTTTGTACACAAGACCCTGTGCTCGTGTGGATAATAAGTCATCTCCATGAATAAAAATCAGGTTACAAAAAACCTTACATAAAATCCTTAGGATTTGACGCTAATTGAAGATAAAATACTTTCAAGTATTATGTTTATGAATTAATTAGAGGTTAAGGCATGATTTAAGGTAACATTGAAACAAAAGCCCTATGTTACCCTAAATGACCTTTATAATACCGCTAACTTTCTGCAATCTGTTCAGTATTTGTTTCCTTCACATTTAATCTCTCATCCAACATGCTGCTAAAAAAATAAAAGCACAAAAAATAATTAAAAAAAAAAGGTTCGTGTGTGTCTGAACAAAAATGCCTTTTTGACAGTGAACAGGTGAAGCCAGAATTCTACCTTCGAGTATCACGACTCACGTAACAAACACAGTACTACGCGAAGGACAAGAACAACACAGTGCTACGTCAGAGAACAAATTCAGGGTATCTCCCGAGTTAGACAAAAAACAGGCAAAAAAAACCCCAAGAAATGAAACCCCACGCCCTCCCGCCCACCCTCTCGCCCCAGCTATAAGGGCAACGCACCCACACACACATACAGACACGCAGTTACTGTGTGTAACGATAGGAAGCGCCTACAGCAGCTTCCAGGAAAATTGCACAATTTCAAGCTAAACAGATAAAAGATACCATGTTTAAAAAAATATAAAAAATTCAGCACCAAGTAAAAGGTTTTTTCTTATTCCAAGTAGCTAGATAACGTTAAGAAAAAATGATGAAGACCCTCAAGGTTATTCTGAAATAACCTACAGTTTTATAAAAAAATCTGTCATCTATATCCTTGCAGTGGACACCTAACATCACAGTACTGAAGTGCTCAGTCTGCTTGGCATTTTAACAGCTAGAAGGACTTTTTTTGTTTTACAGAAATTTGGAAATTTGAAGTGAATCTTCAGATTTAAACTGGGGAATAAACTAGGTATGTGAAGATACTTTACAGAGGAGGTGCCAGTATTTACTCTTCTTTCCTGAAGTTGTATCGGAGATGTACGTGGGCCAAGAACAATATCCCTGCCTCAATTTATTCTCTACCACTACTTAGAGATAAACATTTGCATGGCAGCTCCTCCAGCTATAAAGATGCTACGGACCTGTCCTCCTCCTGCCTAGCACCAATTATACCGAGCTTTTTGAACACTGCACATCGTTCCATCATACAGCATATGTGCCACATCAGTTGCTAACATTGTGATGAACCAACGTGTTACATGATCAACTTGAATTACGTGTAAAACCAAAATATCCCAAACTTTTGAGAACAATATTACACGACAGACCTAATTTGTACTTGTACAGCACAACGGAACAAACCTAGAAACCCCATGCCTTGGTCTGACAGTGCACTGTATTTCCCCTCAAAAGTTAAAGGACAGAGATTTTTTTTTTTTTTTAATTAAAAAAAGTAGAACATTCTACTAAAATACCACAGATCATATGGCCAATCCAATCTTTTAGTCAAGGCAAAATATGATTAGTTAATAAAGTGAATTCTTCAGTGCTACAAGATGAAAACAAAATAATTTGGGGAAAAAAGTTGGGTCCATATAATCACCTACTGGAGTTGCCTATTAAAATCATTATAAAATTATGCTAATAAAAACTGTGAACAAATAATACACAGATCAGGATATATGTATTGACTTACTAGCATCTTTATAAAAATTTGAAGATATACACAAAAACACATCAACATTTATGGAACTGTATCCATTAAACTTAGATAAGACAACACAAAAAACTAACAAATAGCTAAGATGTGGTTGACTGTAAGCACTTTGAGTAACATTTTAATTTTAAAAGGTCAATATTTACATACTACATTAAATGCTTTTTTTTTTTTTTTCGCATTTTGCATCATATTTTGAATGCATGATAAAGAAAGAACAAGATAATGGTTGCAACAGATCTTCCAAGAAAGTTAACTTAAGATGCTCAGATTTAACTATGTGCTGAAAGATAACATGGCAAGAACACGTCTGTCTAGCTTTACCTCTACTTCCTTTGGGGTTTTTTGGGAGGAGACAACAAATGGATCTAAAAGAGCTGTATCATTCAAACTGATCATTGCCAAGAAATCCACTTTTAAGTTAGGATTTGAGAACTAACAGAACACAAACATTTTAACAAGTGACTCACCTAATTGCTACTTTTGCTACTGAGTTTAAGGTATTAGAGAGATATGGTGACAACACAGGGTGTCAGTATGTATGTACATATGTGTATAATAAAATGCATACAGACATACATACATATAGTAAGTTTACATATAGTAAGATACCCAGGTACTGCAATAAGCAGCTAAAATCACCACCAGTGATCCGTCCGTACTCCGTCTATGCACAAGCAATCATTTACTGCAACCGCTTTTAAAGAGGATGCATCTAGTCATTAAACAGGCATTGCTTACGTTGCCTCCTACATTTAAATAGATCTGAGGCGATTTCACGTCTTTATTCCAAAGCCACACATTTGTCTCAAAAAAAATATTTTTTTTAAAAAACCCAACTGAGTAAAAATTGTTAAAACTTAAGTTGGCTGAACCTCAGCCTCTTTGGGATGGATTCAAAACCCAAAGCAGGAGCGTTTCTACAAACTTCTTTGACTTTTGAATCAAACCCATATTCTTAGGCTCCAAGAAACCCTCTAACCCCAATAACATTTGCTTCTGACAGGACAGCTGATCAACTGCAGATGTTCCTACTGCTGAACTCAGCTGCTGGCCTGTCTGGCATTTGCATCTAACCCAGATTTCCAGACACGCACTATTATCACTCCACTCCGAGATGTCTTCCCATCCTTCTCCTTACAGAGAAGCTGCTCCCTAACAGTGGGACGAATAACTGTTTAATGACTTGTTTTCAAGGTAAGCATTTATTTCTTAAAAATAAAGATTACATAACCTGAGGAGGCAGCGTAGGGGTCCTAGCGCTCACGGTGTGAGGAGTTAAACAGCACGTGGCAGAGCCAGTCACCGCCATCAGCTCGCGTGAGTCTTCAGGGTCGGCTCCCACTGGGCACTTCCTACCTGCGGCTCATTCTCTGTCCTGGGCTTGGGTCTACCCTGAAGCACCAGCAGCACTTTATGTATAGTCATTGTGCTGGATGTTATTAAGTATTATGCATAAATGGGAAACTATACAGACGGGTGCAAAACTCACTTCCATGCAAAAATTCTCATGATGTTACTGCGTCTCATCACTAAGTTGTAAATGGGCTTAGACTATTCTTTAATTTTTTTTTTTTGCCCAGTGCAGTATTTCTTAAGTACCACATTATACTGTATTATTTCAGTGAACAAAGAGCTGTTTTATCTAGAAGATTTTTTACAGTATTTGTTACTCAATCATTATTTTTAGTAACTCCTACTTAATTGAAAATCCGGACCAAAACTGTAAGAAAGCCAATTAGGTCTTTGTGACTTGGTTACCATTAAATCTTTAAAAAAAAAAAAAAAAATCTATGCTACTATAAACTTGCTTAGTTCATCCTTCCACACTTGGCATGCCTATTTTGGACCCCATTCACAGCTGCTCCATTACATACCAATAGCGTTGTTCTGTGGTCACTTAGGTAACAAACCTACAAGGTTTCTGCAAGCCCCCCCCATTCAAATCGTAGGTGGAGTGCTTAAGAGCACTCCTAAAATAAAGGATGAAGCAAAAGCTCACAGTCTAAAAACTAAGGAAATGTTCATAAAAACTGGAATCGAATATAAAGATGACATTTTAATAAGTTTATTCAGAAGTAACTGAAAAAAATTGTTCCTTTGGCAACACCATCTAGATGGTTCTAACCAAAAGGAAATATTACGGATTTTACTTTGAATAAAATATAAGCTCCTTAATGTTTGCACGTAATTTTTGGGAACTGCCATGTTCACCAGCAGATTCACAATGTCCTTATAGTCCTGTATTTATCAGGAACAACACGTCAAACCAAGTCCTTCTAGTTACGGGTTTCTTATGGTTCAGCATTAGTCACAAAATAAATCTCAAAGAAAAAAAACTAATCAAAATAAAGCATAAGGCAATCATGAAATGCTAGCCCAAAAGAACTATTACGAACGTGCCACTCTTCCTGTGTAACATTTTTGAAGTGAGCCACCAAATATTTCTTTTTCCTTGTATCTGGCAACGTCATTTAAAACAACCTAGTTACAACTTGGAGTTCACTACCCCACGATGCTCTGAAGGGCAAAGATCCTTGTTCTTAAAAACCAAGGGAAAATACAGCAATGTTATTCCTACATAGGGTTTTATGGAATACGTGGAGTTGGAAGAAGATGGAAGTCTGTGTTGGAACAGAAAAATGCAAAGACAGACTTAACTTATTTACAAAGATCAAAACTACAATTTTCCAGTGTCACCTCCAAAGCCTCTCAGCATACTGCTATTCAGTGAAGTAGACCACGTTTAAATCTATGCAAGAATACCTTCTGTGCTCTCAGATATACAACGTAACTAATGTGTTTTGTTTAGAAAAGTGAGTTTTCGTTCAAATACCTCGCACTGAAGATAAGAGCAACCATTATCAAATATTCTTTGCTATGAAGAAAGTTTTTAAATCTTTCGATGTAAACGTTCTCTCTCAAGTCACTGTGGTCACACAGTAGGATCTTGAAGAAAAGTGTCTACATGCATTGAAAGCATTTTGAAAATATCTGTAGTTCCACATGGTTACAACAGAACGCGAACAAACCAAACAGAAATTCCACCTTTGCAGATCCTCTCAAGTTCAGCTCTTCTGGAGGACACCTTGCTGCTTTCTGTAGTTCAACATAGCAAGTAAAGACTAAGCTGAAAGGTTTCACAACCTGATGGTTTTGCCACTGCGTCTTGTGTAGCTCCACAGTACGCTTCTGTTAGTGTCAGGGCTTCTCTCAGCAGACATCACTCAACTATCAGCGCCACGTTTATGTGGGACAGATCTATCATGTGCCTGTTGAAAGTTAAAAGAAATTTAAACCTAGTACTCAAACTGATTCTAGGGGTGGAGAACAAACAAGGAGGTTCTATGAAGTCACTAATTAACAGACAACCGATTGGCTTAGAAGAAACATGAGAAGAGGAGACTGATTTAATCTTCTGAAGGGAGGGAAGGAACCAAGGCAGCAGCAGCGCTTAATTACTTACCTGTGGAATTTCTGTTGAAATGCTAAAGCATGTGCTGGCTCCTTAAATTTTGCTATGGCTTTCCGTTGTTGAGGAAGCATCTGTAAACTCTGCAGAGACAAAAAGCCAAAACATATTTTTAGTATTCACTTAAAGTTCCCTTCAAACTAATTTTGCATGAAGCCCATTGCAATTTTGTCATATTTCTTTTCTCGGAAACACTATGGGTATTCAGGGACTGGAAAGAGACCGCCGAAACTGCAGTCAGGGACCCAGCTGAAGGTGTCTGAACTGGTGCATTAAGCAACTGTACTAACTGGAAAACCCAGACCACCACTGGTTAAGCAAAGGCAACAGCTCTTCAATTCAATCCATACAGATGAACCAAACCCTGCAAACCAAACCCACCAACTGAATGAGAAACATTCAACTGGGCAGAGCTCAACTTCACACACAAGCGCCCGGGAGTCATTCACCTGATGTATGTTAAAGGATCGGGGCTTTCCACAGGTCAAACAGGACAGAAACAGGAAAAAAGCGTTAGGTTTTGGTCTCTAGACTGTATATCCTCACACTATTTTAACAAAAACAAGCGGCTAGCTTTTGACAGATGCTAACAACGACATGACCCCAATGAGATCGCTTAGGTCACCACTTCCAAGTCCTCCTAGTAATGGGAAACCATGCAACACACATCTACACAGACAAGTCCATGGGATACGTGCTTCCCATACCACGAGAGCAGCATTTCACAATGCTGTAACTATCAAAAAAACCCTGTGTAGTATTGAGGTCTCAAAACCTATAGCATGCCTCAGCCAGGGCTTTGGAGAACTCATGTCCTTGCTCCCTGCTGCAGCAGGAAAGGTCCAGGCAATGCCAAGACGACCCCAGAGAGAAGTCCTATGATTCCAGTGTCTCACAGCAGGTTTTGGATGTTTAATGCTGCAGCATGTTCAAGACAGAATTGTTCTGATTCAGCATCCAGTTTCCAATTGTTCTTATGGCTTTGGATGCAAAATTAAAGAATTCCTAACATCTGTCTTTTCTGTGCGTAAGTTTCTACGTAAAGACAATCCAATTTTGTACTGAGCTTCATATATATATGTGTACATGCATATGCACACACACATACATATAGGAACCTTAAAACTTTTCTAGATTTCATTATAACATCCTGGTGGTTACATATAAACATGATTCTCTGCTCCTGCATCTTGCCTGGAACTCGGCAGCATCCCACCACCTTTGGACGATTCCAGCACTACAATGGTCAGTTTTGAGGATTTTAAATTTCACATGCAAAAACTCTGTATCATCATCTAGCCTATTAAAAAAGGTACCACATATCTTTACACAAACAACTATTTCCTGTGAAACTACATACAATCCCACTCATCATGATACATTTTAATGGTGACACACTTTGAGATCAAAAACACTTGGCAAATGATTTTTAGGTTTTTTTTTAATCAGAAAGCTCTTGAGAAGGTTAAGCACATTTTATCAGTGAGAATATGGTCATGCTGTACAAAGCACCAATGACCATGGACAAAGCTCAGTTCTCCTGGAGGTTATCTGCTGGAGTGGGTGAAGGAGGTGCTGAAGTTCATGTTCTCCTCCTTGATTGATGTCTCTTTATTACGATTTATAGAACTGTATCTAATACACATTCTCTTGATATCACTCTTCTGGCTAGAAAAGGACTAAAGACTAAGTAAGTCCTACTACTAAGGACTAAGTTTTGAAGACTAAGAATTAATCACAGCCATTAAATAATGAGATTTAGAAACAAGAGACTTGTAAGAGTTAAAAAAAAAATCTCTGAACTGCAATTAAAAAAAAAAGAAATCAAGAGAAGTAAATTTGGCTCTTCTGTTTCTTCAAAGAACTTCAAATTTTAATATGAGAAAAACCTGTTTGAATCACTGAATGGACAAATATTTCAGAAAACAGTGGGACAAGAGGAGCTGGAAAAGAACCTGGAGATGCATCCCGTCAGCTGTACCCTGCATGCCCTGCTGTCACCTGCTTCCCTCCCCTCTCCTGAACCATCTCCAGCCCACCTGCAGACAACCGATCCTCACAACAATGTCAGATCTTGCTCAACTACCACAGGAGATTCTCCCAATGCTTTATGCTCCAGATCCCCGTTGTGATCAACTGAATAAGAGAAGCTGCATTTAGTGACTTTTTCCACAATAATTGAGCTATTACTGTATTAATATTCTTGAGATGCACAACAGCAAAATGTGATTTTGCAGTTTACACACCAATAATGATAAGTTATTAAGAAGCTGCTTGGTAATTAGCATATAAAAATTGATTAAAGGAAGACATTCTGGTATAGTGCAGACTTATTAGCGAAATTAGGCAAAGTATCTAAATCTTATTATAGAAAACTTATTTATGCTTTCATATGAATTAATAAAGTTTACTGGTTGACTAGTTTGGATATTATGTCACAGCCTGTTCTTATGCTGTATTACTGCCTTCTTTTCCAAAGCAAAAAAAAATGCAATCAAAACACTAGATATTTTTAATACCCAATTGCTTTGGCAACAAGGCATCAATTCTTGGATAAGTCTATTGAAAAGCACCTTTATCAGATTTAATTTCACTTGTCAATACAGACAACTGTGGAAGCAAAAAGCCAACTCATCTGATCCTTCACTGAACTGCCTAAACACCACCCATTACACAGCCCAGGGGTAAGGCAGTAACCTCTAGCACCAGGGTCTTCTCAGCTGCTGCAGTTACACATGCCTACGCTTTAACAAGAGAGAGAATTAAGGACTACAAAACGAAACGATAAACTAATGCTACACGAACGATACTTTGCCAGTTGGAAACTGTCTGAAAAATTTTCATTCAAACTGTTTTAATACAAATTCTCAGCCTCCACTGCACTCAAGCTATGGTAGTGAAAATGATGCAGAATCACTTCATGTTTGTTTAGGTATATTAGATATATTCACCCTATTTAGGTATTAAAAAAAAAAACCTGTGTTTTAACAAGAAAAGAACAATTACTAAACTAAGTTACTTTGATGATATGACCACCATAGCCTGAAATACCACCATAAATATTTTGCTGACAAGGATTTTTAATATCTCAACATAAATAGTGATCTACATTGTGTTTTCAAACAAATCCTCATCTATCATGACTTGCAAGTATGATCTTGCTAACAAAGATCTCTTGAAAATTTACATTCTGATTTTGGGACAATATCTACTTACTCGCATTACTATTTAAACTCCCAGTTTTATGCTTAACAACATTGATTGTCAGGCACAGAACAAGTAGGTATGATTTTGCCAGAGGGTGTAGGTCCTGAGCTGCTGCTATCCCACCCTGAGCAGATGGGTTATCAACCGGGCATACAAACTAGTGTTCCACTTCAGTGGAAACCTGAAGTACAATAACTGCATACTCATCCTAGTGAATTATTTCTGTCTCCTTGAATTCGGGATGATATGCAGTTTAGAGCTGACCTTGCATTTAGATGATGTTAACAGTGATAGTCTGAAGGAAACACACTTTTTTTGTGTAACCTGTGGAATTTTATTAGCTTGAAATGTTGTTCAAAGCATTATCTTAAAGACTTACTTCACCAGCTTCTGGTTTTGTTGATTCAAAATACATGTGCTAGGAAAATACATGCAAAATTAATTAATTTTACGTATCTTAATCATGCTAGCTTGCTAGTTTAACACACTTCATTGTTTTCAACTTTTTTGAACAATTTTGCAGCCTTTTTTTCAGTGGTAACATCCAGTATTTCTAGCATCCATAATATTCTCAGATAGTTTGAGTGCTTGCATATTCACTACAAGGTGATCTTGAAATAACCTCCTAGAAAGCTGTTATTTTTAATCATGCTCTTTCACCAATCGGACTATCTACTGTATTAGTCAGCTTACTTGTAAAGAGTGCTTTAATAAGTTTCCAAAATTATTGGTACCACTGTCTAATGTATTTCATTAATGAAAAACCCATACATGTGCAAACATTCATCTTTCATTTTTGAAGTAAAACCTGAAGTACTGCATTAGGTATCGTAGAGCTTGCACAAAAATAGACGCTCACCTATAAGGTTTTCAGTATTATTTTTGTTTCCCCACAATATATCTAACTTGTATTTCCAACACAATACTGTACATCAGAATAGATTTAACTTTAGTGATTTCTTTTCATACTGCCTAACTACTTCTGGAGAAGATGTTATAACAAGTTAAACAAAACTTCCACTGGACAAAAGCTCTTCTTGCATGGTTCTCTATGTAAATAAATCAAGTAACCTAGCATTTGTAGATTTTTATCTATTGACCTTGTTTACTTCTGAAGTTAATGGCATTTATTTGAAATTATTACATGTTCAGAGACAATGGGTTCTTGTAGTTAATATCTAATATCATAAACAGAAACTACATGATTTTGAAGGAACGAGTTAAGTCTTATTTTTGGACTACCAACCTCAATGGCTGCTAAAATTTCCATCTGAAGCATGAAATTATGGATGTCTCTCCTACAAATCACCGTATGAGAGGCCTTGAAGTGAGAGCTAACTATAACAGCAAGAGGCTGGGAAGATCACTGCCAAAGTAAGGTGAGAAAAAAATAAAGATTGGGGGAGTGGGGAGGGCGAGGAGAAATCTTCAGTGTGTGACAATTAGTAGGAAACAACAATTTTCAATCCTGAAGAAAATATTACTGCTCAACAATGTTTAATATGGGCAAGATTTATATAAAATTCCAGTTTGCTCACAAAAGGTTTTGTCCATCATTTGAACCAAAGCCAAACAAACCTACAGCAAGTATCTGCAAAACTATCAGTCCTTTGTGAGAAGTGCTAGCCCTCCTGCAACACCACATTTCCAAAAATACCACAAGGACTGCTAATAGGGGACCATGCCACTGACCTGTTCCAGGTTCAAGTCAGCTAGTGCTATGGTTGATACCCAAGTGCCACAACACAGGTGTCTTGCATACTATTGGTGGCAAGTTGGGGTTTTTTTCTTAGAAAATCTAGATGACTTTTGGTTTGTATTCTAAGGCTTGAGTGATGTCCTAATACATGAGCGAGTATATGTTAGCGACAGACAC